ATATACCGGTATCATCTTAGTAAATGTAATAATCATAAACACATTGATAATATCAAGTATGCTTATTTAATTATTTATTAATAAATGTTAATAATTATTTGAATTAAATTGATGAAACTTAATTTACAAAACGGTATATGCAATAACTTTTACTTAAAAAGAATGTATGGCATAAGATAAATCAATCTTCATAGCGTTTAAGGACGTAGACGCTTCTCGTACATTTTCTGATATATTGGCATGGTTACATCAACGCACTTCAGAGCATATTCACTTAGCTCAGAACGTAATGGCAATGGCCCTTGTTTCTTAAAACAGGTGCTGTCGAAAGCATTCTGGTAAGCCCCAATCAGTTTGCCTCTTTGTAGCTGTAACTTAGATGTTGCCCAGTCCTTAACAACACCATCACCCACCTCCCAAGAGAGTAGCTTTTGGGTGTACTTGATGCCCAGTGTTTGGCAAAACTTTCGAAGGATTCCTTCTGGATCAGACTGCAGATCGTCTGAATCGATTATAATCGGGTCTCGTTCAATTCCATTTGATATCAAATGCTCGTATAGTTGAAAGTGGTCTCCGTACGCGTAGTCTTTGGATCCGGCCATCTCTAAAACCTCGTCTATACGCTGAGAATCTTCTGACACAACTCTAGAAAAATGTTTATACCATGATTTATATAGCTTTAGTGGATGACGTATTAAAAAGGTGTGGCGAAATCCACTTGTAATGAGGTCATAGTTGGCTGCTACTGGTTGAGACATGTCTTTACAGAACACAACGTCTTTACCTGGATAATCGCCCTCCAATAATGTTTCCTTAACCCATTTGAAAGTAAACAAGTTGTGGTCAAGTCCCATATCTAGGTTGATCTGCGCTGCAGAATCCATTAATTTTTCAAATGACTCTTGCGCTTCTTTTTGCAATACGTACGTACGTTCTGGTCCATACTTCATGGCGCAACGGTATGGTTCAAAGATGATTTTTACGTTGTCCAAGTGGCTCATACATTTTGTAAATGCCGTGGAAAGTGCTCTTGGAATAGTCCACAACATCACTCGCACTTGTTGAGATTTATTGTCAGTCATGTTTTTCGTCAGGATAACTAAAATATGAAATCATATATATTAATAGATAGAAAATGAGTAAGTAGGAAATATTGATAAAAATGTAGGTAGCAGATTATCTAAATAATATAAGAAATTAATTACTTAAAGTAAAAACTTACAAAGCTAAGATTTTTAGTTAATTATTTTTTATAAAACAAAAATAAATGTTATTATCCATTGAAACTTATTTGATAATGCTATCCATACAGAATAAACAAAGTTATTTCATTTCTTTATAGTTATTAAATTTGTATCAATAAACTAAATTTGTATTATTATTATTAGGAACTATTATTATTATTATTATTATTATTATTATTACTATTATTATTATTATTATTATTATTATTATTATTATTATATTATTATTATTATTATCATTATCATTATCAATAAATTATGATATAACCTATTGAAGGCATGGATTATAATAGTTATACAAACGTATAAATAGCAACAGGAATTACATACATTAGGCTTACTTCATTTGAATTTGCTATTTTTAGTTACGAATTAATTTCTTATCAAATTATTATAATATTAAGATTTGTTTACACTATCAAATTTTATCTGACAAAAAAATGTGATGTGCCCATATATGGGCACGATGACGTCATATCACATATCATCAGATTGTATAAAAAAAAGTTGAACTTGATCAACTCTATGATGCATCAAGTTTTATGTGATGCTTCTGTGATGAAATTTGATAGTGTAGACAAACTAACACTATTGAGAATTATGTATTATTTGCAGTAGGTTTGACCACGGAGGAATAAATTGACTATATAATACCATAGAGGAATAAGTTTCATGGTCATACCCTATAATACAGTATATGCTGCTGAAAAAAAATAATAATTGTGTTTGTTTGAAAGGTGTGTAAAAATTAGAACAAAATAAGAACATTTTGAGAAAGAAATCGGCAAAGTCTGGGCAAAATTTTGCTGGTTCTTACCAATCAGCCTTCAGTCTTGCTATCTTATTGCATTAATAAATATCGTAGTATAAACTACTTCTTTAAATTTCAATAAAATAAAAAAATAAAATGTATTAAAAAAAACAAATTACTTGAACAAAAAATGTAACTTATCCCATTTAGTTTTCCAAGATCTTATTTTTTTAAATTAACACAAGCAATGCATTTTTCCGTTATGTAATGTTGAATATTGGTTAGTTGCTGGTGACTTTGAATGAGTAGTATAACACGGTTCCTTTTAGTACACTGCAAACTTTTATTCACACAAACTGTACGTTGGTTACAATCAGCTAAACTCCAGGTTTCAGATGTTAGAGAACCCTTTTAGAGTGGAGTCAGCCCTGTACTTTTCTTCTGTGTTGAATCTAACTACTGACTACTGACTACTGACTACCGACTACTACTGATTCAGTGATATGGGGGTGTTTGCCTATTATACTTTAGGTAATGGGGGTGTGTCTCAAGTAAGTCACCCCATACTTTTAGAGTTTCTGATTGGATCATAGAGAAATTATTTCTCTATGATTTAGTAACTTGTTTACCAAAAAACTGCTAATTAAAATGTATCACAAACTTCAGAGCTTAGGCTCAAAACTGACAATCATAGATTCATAGTGTGAGAAAGGCCAAGTCCAACTGACTAGGCTAAAGTTATACAAAGTCCAGTTATATTATTATATTATCTGTATACTCAAGTTGACCATTAAAACTGTCAAACCAATCTAAGGCATTTATCAGGTGAAGGGTACCGGTATCGATTCCAATGGTTATGAAAGTTAATACCATTGAACCTTAATACTACATTACATCCCTTTCAATTAATTTTTTTTAAACATCCTAACATAAGGTAAAATGTACTACAATGTGTAGTAGGCATAAAGCAATATAACAATTCATTAAAAAAAATTAAATCGTTAAACATAAAAAATTATAGCATATAATACAAGTGGTGCAAGATGAATACGTGTCAATTTCCATCATTTACTCATATTCACTCTCTCTTTCTCTCCATTTTTTTTCTTCTCTAAAAATACAAATGAATAACATTTTTGATTTTCGAGGTTAATCAATCTAATACGATTTTTGCATGTGTCTTAGTCATCGATTTAACATTAGATTGTATTTAAACGTCTAGGCTTGCCATATCCGACGTGATATAAAAATATTTAAAAGTAAAATAACTTTATGAGGAGGAACTTAAATTAACTTTTTTTTTAATTTAACTAAAATTACTTACTTACTTATTTTCTAAAAAATCAATTGCTTCTATTACACGTAGACTTGAATTCATCTAGTCGTGTTTACTAGCAATACACATATGCACTTTAACTCGTTATCGTTTAATATCATCACGTATTTCATAATAATTTATTAGTATACCTTTGTCATACATTTATCCTAAGCATTTCATTACAAGTAAAATTATGTAAATTTGGATTATTTGTACCCATATGAACTTGTATTCAGTATTCATTTAAACTGACGAATTTATCCTCATATTACATATCTTTCATTAAACTTGCATGGCATTAACAACTCGACAAGTAATAAGCTTGTTAATTTAGTGTTGCAATATAAGCTTGGATTATTCAATAATTCATTGATCGCTTCATTACATTTAAATCATAAACAAAATTGTTGTATTCCTCATCATAAAATTATAAACTCAATTTAAATCATTAGACAACATGTCAATATAAATCGTACTTAAATCATTACGCTGTGTATTCACACAATATAATTTCAAGTTCTCAATATTTAAATTCAATATTCGTATCAATTTCAAGATTTCAGTATAATTAAGTACTTCCGCACGGGTTCCAGCCCGTTGCCACCCGGGGCCGTTGCCACCCGGGGCCGTTGCCACCCGGGGCCGTTGCCACCCGGGGCCGTTGCCACCCGGGGCCGTTGCCACCCGGGGCCGTTGCCACCCGGGGCCGTTGCCACCCGGCCTTTTGCCACCCGGCCTTTTTGCCCCCCGGCCCGTTGCCACCCGGCCTTTTGCCACCCAGCCTTTTGCCACCCGGCCCATTGCCACCCAGCTTGTTGCTGCTGTAGACATTCCAACCCCGGTAACTCAAAATTCGGGAGACTCTGCCACCCGGTCTTTCGCCACCCTAGGCCCGTTGTCACCCAGGCCTTTTGCCACCCGGCCTTTTGCCACCCGGCCATTTGCCACCCGGCCCGTTGCCACCCAGCCCGTTGCCAAACTAGGCCCGTTGCCACCCAGGTCTGTTGCCACCCGGCCTTTTGCCACTTTTGGGAAAGTCGAATATTTATATTATTTTGGTGGGTTTTTTTACACAGATTTGTACTAGTATGCCTAATATAGCATAATTTTTTCTTGATTAAATTTACTTTCCAGTTAAATATTTAATTATTAGTTTACTGTATTTTATTTCAAACAATCGTCCATGCGCTTTCTACCACCAGGCAGTGGCGGCTCTAGGATATATCTTGTGGGGGGCTAAGTTGTCCGACAAGGGGACTTGAGCTCGTAAGCTCGAGCTGGAGGAAGGTGTTGAGAGGAGCTTCCCCCTCCCAAATGAGATTTTTTAAAAAGAATATCAACATCTGGGTGGCCGAAAATGGCACTCTCAGACTGTGACAGACATGTGTTGGCTTGGTGTGGGCATATTTGTATGGTCTGACTGCCCGACGAGCTCTGTCTGGTGGGGGTGGGGGCTTTGGCCCCTCCCCCTCCCATTAAATCAAATTTAAAAAAAAAACTGTTCAATTTATAACACTAAAAGAATTTTAATTCATGATGTTCCGCCTTCACAAAAAATGTAAAAAAACATATACACATACACACTAACTAAAAACAGTACAGTACATACTCAGAAAACATATACATACATATGTACGTCTGAATACATACAACGCTAATCAGGACTACTTCACACGTGTGCCTTTCCCGCAACTAATTGTCATTGTTTACAATCTGCCAAGCAATCAATCCATTCATCATTTAGTACACATAGTTTGGCAGAAATGGCCAGGTGGCAACATGCCTACGGTGGCAACGGACCGGGTGGCAACGTTCCGGGTGGCAAAGGGCCGGGTGTCAAAAGGCCGGGTGGCAACGGGCCTAGCTGGCAAAAGGCCGGGTGGCAACGGGCATAGGGTGGCAAAAGGCCGGGTGGCTAAAGGCCGGGTGGCCAGAGGCCGGGTGGCAACGGGCCTAGGGTGGCAAAAGGCCGGGTGGCAAAAGGCCGGGTGGCAACGGGCCGGGTGGCAAAAGGCCGGATGGCAAAAGGCCGGATGGCAAAAGGCAGGGTGGCAACAGGCCAGGTGGCAACGGGCCTAGACCTCTTCTGCACATAACAAAAACAGATAAGGGCTGAGTCCATCCCCTTGTCTACACCCTCTATAATAGGAAAAGATATAAATTCATTAACTATAACCGACGCCTTTGCATCTTCGTATAAGATTTTAACCCATTTCTGAAAAATCTCCGTAAAATTAAATTGTTTAAGAACTTTTCTAATAAAGGTATGAGACACAGAGTCAAAGGCTTTCTCAAAATCAATTACCAGAATAGACCTGGAATGTTGTCGTTTTCGGCTCCATTCATTAAATCGTATGTTGCTCGTATATTTTCTCAAATAAATCTTTCCGATATAAATCCTTTTTGGTGTTCGTGTACTAGATAAGGAAGAACTTTTTTAAACGTTCAGCAATGCAAGATGAAATCAATTTGTACGATGTGTTCAAAAGAGATATAAGTCGGCAATTTTTTAGGAGAGTCATATCTTTATCCCCTTTAGGGAGTAATGTAATGAGACCATGCCGTTGTGTAATCGAAAGTTTACCTAATGAGAAAGAGTATTTAACTGATCTGTGGAAGAAATGACCTATATCCATGAAGAAGAATTTAAAAAATTCATTTGTAAAACCATCAAGTTCATTTGTAAAACCATCAAGACCAGGGGATTTCCCATTTTTCGTTTTTCTTAGACAGTCTTTATGTTCCTGATAGGCGATTGGTGCATCAAT